TTTCGGCTTGTTCCTCTACACTTGGTATAAACTGTTGAGATTCACTAGATTCATGGGACTCACAAGCTGTATGCTGAGGGGGTCCATGATGACGGTCTGCTGTGTGTTTCGCCTGTTTTGGAAGTCCAGCAATTAACTTTGTTTCAAGAACCGCAATCCTTTGTAGAAGTTTGCAGTAGTTCATGCAGCAAGTATATTCAACAGGAGGCATTTTCTTTCTCTTCTGTTTGAATGTGGGCAGCATGCCATACTTTTCCCATATTTTTCTAATTGTACTGTCATAAACTTTATCATTTAACATGTTAACTGAGGCCTGTAGAGTCTGCTGTGTAGTTCTTGGGTTGTTTGCCATTTCTCTGAGCGTTACACGGTCTGATCTTGGAGTGAATTTGCTGGGATGTCCACTCCTGAGGATTGGTGTCTGTTTTGAGTGTCTTCCACTTGTGAATTAACTTCCTCACTGTAGAATGATGGACTTCACATTGTTTGGAAATAGCAATTTTACTCTTCCCAGATTGATGGCAGCGACAATTGCTTCTCTAAGATCATTGCTGATGTCTTACCTCCTTGGCATTGTGTTAACACACACCTGAAGGCTCTAGAACAGCAAACTGCCCAAACTTCTGCTTCTATAGAGGTGCTCACACTTGCTGATGATCAGTTAATCAAAGGAATTTTATTAGCAGTGCCTGACTGCTACTTACCATCTTAATTCCTATGTTAATAGTAAGGGTGTCCTAACATTGTCACACATGGATTTTCCATTTTGGCTTTATTTTTGAACTTCTGCTTTTATGTGCTCACACTTCCTGATTATCAGTTAATCAAAGGCGTTTGATTAGCAGTGCCTGACTGCTACTTACCCTCTTAATTCTTATGTTAACAGTAAGGGTGTCCTAACATTGCCACACATGGCTTTTCCGTTTTGGCTTTATTTTTGTTAAATAAATAATGACACGGTACAATATGTCATGTGTTGTTGTTTTATTTTCCAAATTTTAAAACCTGCCAAGGACAAGATAATGTTTTATTATGTCCTGATAGGCCTAAAACCATGGAATTCAATAGGGTGTCCTAACTTTTTCGCATGACTGTACATATGTGTGTGTGTATATATATATATATATA